TATTACTTCTCGTCTTTAATTGTTTCAGAATAGGTTTCATTGTTTCTTATGTAATAGTTTTGTTACCATTTATTTGTTTCAGAATAGGTTTCATTGTTTCTTATGTAATAGCTTTGTTAGCTTTTATTGGTCTATAAAAAATCTGTTTATTAAGGATTATTACTTCTCGTCTTTGTTTGTTTTAGAATAGGTTTCATTGTTTCTTATGTAATAGTTTTGTTAGCTTTTATTGGTCTATAAAAAATCTGTTTCTTAAGGATTATTACTTCTCGTCTTTATTTGTTTCAGAATAGGTTTCATTGTTTCTTATGTAATAGCTTTGTTAGCTTTTATTGGTCTATAAAAAATCTGTTTATTAAGGATTATTACTTCTCGTCTTTATTTGTTTCAGAATAGGTTTCATTGTTTCTTATGTAATAGCTTTGTTAGCTTTTATTGGTCTATAAAAATCTGTTTATTAAGGATTATTTCTTCTCGTCTTTGTTTGTTTTAGAATAGGTTTCATTGTTTCTTATGTAATAGGCTTTGTTAGCTTTTATTGGTCTAGAAAAAAATCTGTTTATTAAGGATTATTACCCACTCCTCTTTCTTTGCAGATTTTGAAACTTATATCTCTCTTACTGAAAACATTCCCATTGAACGTTCACAATCCTACACAGACGTACAAGTATTCATATACTCATTCCTTGTGTATAACTTTGTACTACAATATAAAAATATGAAATGATTGGACCTAAAATTAACAAAGAATGCCATTTGTAGCCATATTTGTCCAACCTATAAATCTGAAACTCACCTGTAACAGTTATTGTGGAACCTGTTGTACGAAGCGTAGGTAAGGTGGACTCCGAACCCCACGCCAACAGAATAGAATACCTGTACAGCTGCATCGATCCACACCTAGAGAGATCACCATATGTCTCACACTCCATACTCCCTTACAATACTTAACTAAGTATACTATATTACAGAACAACAGGAACAAGTAAATGATACTGTAATGGAGACCAAATTGCAAAACTTAATAATACTGTATATTACAGAACCAGAAGCACAGGAAAATACTTCTGTAATAAAATAAAAGGAGCAAGACTTAGTAATGCTGTATATTATAGAAACAGAAGCACAAGTAAATAATACTGCAATAGAATACAAAATGCGTAAGATACAAAACGTAATAATAATGTATTATAGATTTGTTTGTTTGTTTTAGAGCAAAGCCACATTGAGCTAACTGTTGTGTCCACTGCGGGGAATAGAGTCCCATATTTTAGCGTTCTATATCCATAAACTTACCGCTGTCACTGCATTACAGCTCAAGATGCAAAGGTTACCATACGATATTACAGTAACTAGGCTTACATTACCATACGATATTACAGTAACTAGGCTTACAAGTTAATCAAAACGTATTATAAAACTAGGTGTTGAAGTTAATCATACTATGTTAGAAAGCTATAAAACAGTGTATTACAACACCAAACGTTCGACGAAATGTTTACAGTAATAATGGCCATGCGAAAACTATACAATGAAAGTTTCGTCATAAAACAATAATATCTGAATATATAAAGGTGTAGATAGCTAAAAGTGACGACCTGCGCCTCGAGTAGCTTATGGATATCGGGACGTAGATAATACTTGATTCCATTAACAGCACCTGGAAGAACAACGCCACGTAACAGCAGAATAGTAAGGATGACGTAAGGGGCTGTCGCTGTCACCCAAACAACCTGGAAGATAAAGCGTAAAGAAAATGTAAACTGTTTCAATTAATTAAACAGGTTCAAGGAACGTAACGAATAACATTAAACACGTAATAGCTGCGGGAAGAAAAAAATCTGAATGATATGAAACGCATGTAAGAAGATTTACTTTTAACATGATTATTTTTTTCAAACGAAACGTTTCGGCTGTTTTATGTAGTGTAACATCTAATAACTCTCCTGTAGTGATGAAACCTTGTAGAATGAACGGCAACTGCCTGTTGTAGAGACACGAGTGTTGAGGACGCGTTTCGTCTTGAGGTCAGTGTGTGTAAGGTGTTGTCCTGACCTGAAGACGAAAGGCGGAAGACCTTTGAAACGTCGTCATCTACACTTCTATCTCTACAACAGGCAGTTGCCGTTCGTTCTACAAAGTTTCATCATGAATACTCTGTCTAAACAAACTTTCAAAGAAGTCTCCTGTCGTATAGCGATACATATACATACTTTTACTGATACTATTGTTAGATTAATATACACAGTGTAAAGCCTAATGTATACTTATAGTGTTACTTTTAGTAATATATTTATAGTCCGTAAATTGTTTTTGTTTCATAGTGTCCCTTCTTATTGTTTTGTATAGTGTTCCTACTAATGTCTTCACCTGTGTCAATTTTACGTCTAGTGTGACTTAGAACGTTATAACCGTTTTGTAAATATATATATAATTTTACTTCTATGTTTTACCCGTCTCATTCATCTATATAGTGTCCTTATGTTGTCACCGTCTTATTTTTTGTTTTACAGTGCTCCTTTTAATGTTTTCCAATGTTATTTTTATATGGTGTTTATTAGAATATTTTCTCAGTGTTGTAACGTTTTCCTGTGTTATCCTTGCATATAGGGTCAGTTCTAACGTCAGACCTGTGCTTTAGGACATAACAGTAGTGTTATAGTTGTTTCAGTTTTATTGTTGTTACAGTACCACTTTTATTGTTTATCTTGTCTTATTATTGCATGTTATGTCATACCTAACGTTTCTCTAGTGTTAAAGTTGTTTCAATTGTATTGTTGTTACAGTACCACTTGTCTTATTATTGCATGTTATGTCATACCTAACGTTTCTCTAGTGTTAAAGTTGTTTCAATTTTATTGTTGTTACAGTACAACTTGTCTTATTATTGCATGTTATGTCATAACTAACGTTTCTCTAGTGTTATAGTTGTTTGCCACTTCTTTTCATTTTGTTTTAGCTTATAGTATCACTGCTAATTCCTTCTCTCTAACGTTGTTGTACGTAATGTCGTTTGTAATATTATTTCTGTCTTGTGGAATACATTGTTCCTGCTAATACTTTCCTTGTTTTATAACTGTTTGTAGTATCACTCTTATGTTGCTCTTAAGTTATTGTTATGAACTGTATTACTTCTATTATCCCTGTCCTGGCTTCATACAGTATTGCTTCTAAGGTTTTCTTTGTATTATTCATTATAAAGAACTTATGTTAAAAACAGCATAACTTGCGTTCTGTGGTACAGAAATATGGTGTTGGCTACAACACAGATTGAATGTGGGCTAACAAAATAAATTGTTTTAACTGATTTACAGTCTTTGTGTGCAATTTTTTACAAAACTATTTACACACAATAGCATCAAGAACTTAAGGTATTTCATAACAAAAGTTAGCGATTTCAGACACTGTATAAAACAATATTTTAAAAATTAAGGTAGGAAAGTGTGACTCTTCATTTTAGGTTCAAGAACAGCACCAGGTAGGAAAGTGTGACTCTTCATTTAAGGTTCAAGAACAGCACCAGGTAGGAAAGTGTGACTTTTCATTTAAGGTTCAAGAACAGCACCAGGTAGGAAAGTGTGAATCTTCATTTAATGTTCAAGAACAGCAGCGGGTAGGAAAGTGTGACTCTTCATTTAAGGTTCAAGAACAGCACTCCAGGTAGAAAAGTGTGACCCTTCATTTAAGGTTCAAGAACAGCACCAGGTAGGAAAGTGTGAACATTAATTTAAGGTTCAAGAACAGCACCAGGTAGTAAAGTGTGACCCTTCATTTAAGGTTCAAGAACAGCACCAGGTAGGAAAGTGTGACTCTTCATTTTAGGTTCAAGAACAGCATCAGGTAGGAAAGTGTGACTCTTCATTTTAGGTGCTGTTCTTGAACCTTAAATGAAGAGTCACACTTTCCTACCTGGTGCTGTTCTTGAACCTTAAATGAATGTTCACACTTTCCTACCTGGTGCTGTTCTTGAACGGACCTCGTCATAAAAACGTGATTTCACGACAAAACGATGTGTTTAAATAAACATATGTCTTAATTTAAAACAGCAGGTCAGTTACCGTAGTTCACACAAGGCTGTGCTTAGCGAATACAGGTGTGTTATAGTGAAATGGCACAAAGTTTGTGTTAATTTCCAACACAACTATTTGACAGTTGTGTCTATATTGTCACTTCTAGTGTTTAATGTCTTATAGTTCTATTTAGAGTTTTCGGTTGCTAATGCTGTCTTTGTTTTGTTATTGAATATAATGTCATCGTCTTTTAATTGTTGATGGTATAGTATCCTCCATTTACTTTTTATCCTTTGAATATCAGTTTGTAACTTTAGTTTTGGAGCAATATTCACATCATTAGCACTGAATCTTTGATGTCCTGATGACAACTTTTGATCGTACTAGACAGAGCCAGCCTACCTTTCCTGACGACTTCACTCCTTTGAACAACGACAGATAAAGGATGGTAAACACTAAGACGACACAGATTAGCAGTTGCCACCTGGGGGCACCCAAATCGTCGATCCCGGTACTAAGATGTATTTCTAAAACTTCTCGTCTTAAGAAGATACAAAGAAATAAGTCAGATAAGACTGCAGTATATAATAGTGCTTTTTCAACATCTCGTCCTGCTCTAATCTGAGCAACTTCTGTAATATAACTTAATAGAAAGACAAGCTTGATAATCCCATTTGACAAAAGGCTTTTAAGTTTTAAGTAATTTTGTATTATTCAGATTCAATGAAACTTACTGAAAAACGTATTATAAAGTAAGAAATTAAACGCATACCATAAGTATATAAGCCAAAATTAATCAAACTTAAAGATCTTACTAAAGAAAAAAAAATATCTAATAAGTGCAATTTTTATCTTTTCCTAATGTTTATAATCGAACTGACGACTGCAATGTCACATTCGAGTTTAGGTTTAACCAGACATGGACTTATACATCAGACATATATTATTGTTATCATTCATTATATTTCGCAGCCACGAATCCGGTTCAGAGACTTTCTTTAGATTTCTCTTTTAATTATTCAGATAGATATACTTAGAAAACTTAGATAGACTTAGGACGGTAATCTAAGGACCCCGTATGGCCTCATCATGAAAGTTTCTGAAATCAGTACCAGATAAACCTTATACCAAAGACATTTTTCATCTGATATTCGTTCTCCAAATGTCACACAAATTGAATTTATGACGTCCTGAACATTGTTATGTTCTATAAGTCAGAATCAATTTTCTTGCCTCTTCACGCTTCACGATGCTAGTAATAAAAGTAGAACAAATGTATACAATAGTAGAAATTATAATCCTTCAGTGTCTAAAATAAACAAGCGAACACTATGGAAAACTCACTTAAAACAAATACTCTTATGGGAATCTCATTCCTTCGGAGACACTAGTGCTACAATGTTTCATTTTGTATGTCTCGTTAATAAACAACAATGAAACAGTGTCATAATGTAGTTTTGTTTGAATTTACTTACTGGTGATCAGCATTTTTACTAGTTATAGCTTAAACAGTATGTTTTAAGGATCAATTTGTATTCAAACAAGTGCGATGTTTGATCGCTGGTGCGAAAAATCTCAAGTACACAGGTTTTAAGGGTAAAGAAAGTTAAAATTTAACATTCTTCCTCAGAGACCCGCTGTGAAAGATGAAACTCGTAAAAATAATGTCATGATTTGCACAACTCCTTATGTTTCCATATTAATCTCCACGGTAAGTTTATTTAATGCTCTGACAGTATTCTGCTTTAACAATACTTCTACTGTGATGTCTTAATTCTAGTGATAATAATGGTGCAATATGAAATCTACTTTAAAAAGCCAACCTTATGCGTCATAACACAAACAAACAGGGAACACACTTTTTACATTTTCTTTATGAACTGATAATGTTTCATCCCTATTGTAGTGTTCAGAGAATTGATCAGCTCTAAAGAATGTATAAATATTACACGAAAAAAATCAATGTTTTCGAACATCTGTAAAATGATAAATCCTTATCAATAACACTCTTTAGAGATTCAAATATTTACTATTCACACATACATCATAAAGATTTAACAACTGTCTTCCTTAGGTAGTAGAAATTTTCAAGTCTCATTTCATATGTAAAAATGTGTTTTGGAGGTCATGACCTTTGGCCTCGCAGAAATGTCCAAAACCACGCCATTAATTTTCTTCAAATTTTCCGCACAAATTTTAACCAAATCCATTAAAACATCATATCTATCATGTTATTTGATTTAGCAGGACCACAACAAGCACAGAAGAATAGGATTACAATGAAAACTTTTTATATACCATCAAATATATGAAACCATTTTTCCTGAGTCTGACACGTGGCCATGTATACTACAAAATGGCCAACATTTGGAAAATGAAACTTAGGTAAAAATTTAAAATAATAAGTATATAAAACTCGTGAAAAATGTATTTTGGTATAAGGTTTATTTCATATTATTTTAAAAAATTTGGTAAAAAGGTGAAGCTGTAGATACATACTCAAAAAATTCTTGAGCCGGCGACGTCCTGTTAGTAGTGTTGGTGTCGCTAAAGTTCAGAGAACCAGACCAGCAAAGTTCGGAATTCCACTCATTTCCACACTGCATCCACGGAAGCTCAGAACTGAATGACTTATAGATGAAGTAGACAGTCCAACCAATGATGACGTTATAATAGAAGGACACATACCAGGATATCATGACTGCACAGTAGCCGACTCCTGGTCGTGGTAATGGAGAAGCCACGGGGAAAATAGCGCAATCATTAGTAATAGAATATTTGCATATATATATATTCTTGAATATTTTCAAAATCAATGTATTGAGGTTTAATCAGTCTTTATTTTGAAAGATCTACCTAGTCCCGTGTCGCCTTTGTAGCTACTTTTGCATCGTAGGTCGTTCCTATTGGAATGGCTATTATTATGCATTATTGGTCGACAATAAGTATTTCGGTTTTAACACTTTCTGCAAAGAAAGGCAAGTTCAGTCTTTGACCACACATCGAAGCATACTTTCCACAAAGTCTCTACTGTGTAGATAAATAGCATCAGAGAAACAAATAGAATATGGTTGCAGTGCTTTTAACTTCTTTCTCATAAAATAAAACAAACTAGTTTTTATTTCGAAATGTGGCTGGGAGCTTATGACACTTCGTAGACATTGTAACCTTGTTTTTTGTCATCTAACGTTACCACGAGATGTGACCATCAGTGGTGTTTTGGATCAAATGGACTTATTCCCTAACAATAGCCATCAATTTGTAGCTGAGCCATTGCTAAAGATTTGCTTAAGGTGTGATTTCAGATCCCATTTCTATTCTAAACTATTTGCAATACGAATGTTTCTGCTTCTATGGGGAATATTGAAGACTCTTTATTGAAGAACTGTATCGTTCAACAATCTGACTACACGAGAATCCATTTTATAAGATGATTGTAACGTTTTCTCAGCCATAAGTTTATCTTAACAGCGTTGCACTACCAAACCGTCGAACATTTGCACGGAATTATCATCTCCAAAACGTTATTATAAAGTACAAATAACGTTCTGTATGTTATTCAGTGTTACAACTGTCAGTTTCCAATAGAGTTTTCGCGCTGTCGTTATTTAGTTTAAATTATTAAAGATGCACGTGTGAATATTTATCTCAAGCAAAATTAATCTAAAGTTTTATTAATTGCTTCTACATACCTGCCTAGAAAAATGAATGCAAGTAGGTCAAAAGTATATTTCTTCTGTCAAAGTTAAAACTTCATATCTATCATTTAAAATGTATCTTGTATTATAGCACCCATGCCTTCAACATTTCCTGATACGTCTTACTCTATTTATACATATTTACTCCTCTATTTCTCCATAAATATCCTGTACATGATATTATCTTACAACTAGATGGAGAACGTCATTGTATACTAAATAACATTATCTGACTGCTGGCGGATAGCAGTCAGATAACTATTTAGTACACAGACAACTATGAACTTAATATTCACCCACCAGCAGTCAGATAACTATTTAGTACAGAGGCAACTATAAACTTTACATCCACCCATCAGCAGTCAGATAACTATTTAGTACACAGACAACTATGAACTTTATATCACCCACCAGCAGTCAGATAACTATTTAGTACAGAGGCAACTATAAACTTTACATCCACCCATCACTAAATAGTTATCTGACTGCTGGTGGGTGGATAATAAGTTCATAGTTATCTCTGTACTAAATAATTATCTGACTGCTGGTGGGTGGATATCAAATTCATAGTTGTCTGTGTACTAAATAGTTATTTGACTGCTGGTGTGTGGATATAAAGCTTATAGTTGTCTATATGTACTAAATAGTTATCTGACTGCTGGTTGGTGGATGTAAAGTTTATAGTTGTCTATGTACTAAATAGTTATCTGACTGCTGGTGGGTGGTGTAAAGTTTATAGTTGTCTCTGTACTAAATAGTTATCTGACTGCTGGTGGGTGGATAATAAGTTCATAGTTATCTCTGTACTAAATAATTATCTGACTGCTGGTGGGTGGATATCAAATTCATAGTTGTCTGTGTACTAAATAGTTATTTGACTGCTGGTGTGTGGATATAAAGCTTATAGTTGTCTATATGTACTAAATAGTTATCTGACTGCTGGTTGGTGGATGTAAAGTTTATAGTTGTCTATGTACTAAATAGTTATCTGACTGCTGGTGGGTGGGTGTAAAGTTCATAGTTGTCTATATGTAATAAATGGCATTATCTGATTGCTAGTAGATGTATGTAAAGTTCATAGTTGTCTATGTATACTAAATAGTTATCTGACTGGTGGGTGGACATAAAGTTCATAGTTGTCTATATGTAATAAATAGTTATCTGACTGCTGGTGGGTGGATATAAAGTTCATAGTTGTCTATGTGTACTAATTAATTAGTTGACTGCTGGTGGGTGGATGTAAAGGTTATAGTTGTCCATGTATACTAAATAGTTATCTGACTGCTGGTGGGTGGATATAAAGTCCATAGTTGTCTATGTGTACTAATTAATTTTCTGACTGCTGGTGGATAGGTGTAAAGTTCATAGTTGTCTATATGTAATAAATAGTTATCTGACTGCTGGTGGGTGGATATAAAGTTCATAGTTGTCTATGTGTACTAATTAATTTTCTGACTGCTGGTGGATAGGCGTAAAGCTCATAGTTGTTGAGAAGATTGTATTTAGCCCATTGTGCAGCTTTGACCTTAACAACAACAACAAAAAAAAAAGATCTTGCTTTTCTTGACCCCAAACTGGATTCAAAACATATCATTATTTCTGTGCATTTCAAAGAAATAATTACTTGAACACTACTTCTGATTCAAATTAGTGGCTCAGCTGTAAGTTTCCAAACTTATTCGCTAAAAGTCGGGGGTTCGATACCCGTATTGGGAAGAATAAAGATAGCCAATTGTGTATATTTGCGCTTAGAAACAAAAACAAATTAATTCAGGAACTGACTTTGTCACTAGTCTTGTTAAACATCCTTTAGAAGCTTCTAGTCCAGAAATCAACGGCTGATTAAATGAGAAGGATGACCGATAATTGAGATCAACGGCTGATTGAATGAGAAAGATGACCGATAATTGAAATCAACGACTGATTGAATGAGAAAGATGACCGATAATTGAAATCGACAGCTGATTGAATGAGAAAGATAACCGATAGTTGAAATCAACGGCTGATTGAATGAGAAAGATAACCGATAATTGAAATCAATGGCTGATTTAATGAGAAAGATGACCGATAGTTGAAATCAACGGCTGATTGAATGAGAAAGATAACCGATAATTGAAATCAACGGCTGATTGAATGAGAAAGATGCCCGATAATTGAAATCAACGGCTGATTGAATGAGAAAGATGCCCGATAATTGAAATCAACGGCTGATTGAATGAGAAAGATGACCGACAATTGAAATCAACGGCTGATTTAATGAGAAAGATGACCGATAAAATGAGAATTACAGAAATTCAATTCAATCTCATAATCTGTCAAGTCTACCCATGAAGCTCCAGCGGTCTTTTGGGTCTTTGGTCTGTCTGCTGAAATGTGGTCATCGATGCCGTGTCCAGGTTTAATCCGTGGAATGTTTGCAAGATGAGTGGTCAAAGTTTTATTCGCTGCCCTTTGTAAACTTCGTTACAATTGAAATTTCGTACTCTGGTCATTAGACTGAGCACGCTCATCAATAGAAGAAGCAGTTCCTAGGAAAGCATAGAACCTGAAAGATCGTTCTTAGAAAGTGTAATTACATACCACTGTCCGACTACTGTAAGTTTGAATTAACGCTGTCTCTCGTGTACATTATCCGATTACTGGGAGACTGATGCAATATTCAACGTTGTCTTTGTATACTACACAACATTATTTACTAGGAGATTGATGTAAAACTCAACATTGCCTACATAACATTATCCGACTACTGGGAGACTGATGTAATTACTATTGATTTCTGATCAAAGCAACCTAGCTACTTAGAGCAGAACTAAAGATCAACCTGATTATGATCATACCTAATTAAATATAGTATTATTACGTTCTTCCTTGTAAAGATTAGAACACATTAAAAGTTATAGTTTGATGCTGGCGAAGCATTATAAGCCAATAGACCTAAAAAATCTGCAGTTTACTTCATTGCAGGCCTTTTGGTATGCATTGTTTCACTAGTTGGGTATTCTCGCCGTTAACGATATTTTCGTCCTTAATCCGAATAATATCTCACGAGGTTCAATCAGCTTAGGATATTTAGGGTAGTCCTAATGTATATACTAAGCTAAATAGTCTTTATAAAAAAATAAAAACTGATAGCATTAAATACATTAAATGTTCTGATAAATGCTGTCAATGAAAGTAACATTAAAGAAATAACATAGTATAATTTACTCGTGAAATATATCGCTATTAGTTGTTTGTTTCATGTACTGTCGTAGATTCAATGTTCCTTGAAGAACTAAACATCAGTAAGTACAAAACTTTACACAATCTACCCTAACAATGTATTGTAAGCAATAAAAGCCCATTATACGACTCCGAAAGTGTAACTTTGGAGTAGCCTGACACCTTAGACAAATTACAAAGACATATGTAACTGCTTAGCCATAGAGTTGGATAGCAGGACAGTATAGATACTGCAACAACAAAACAAAATAATGTTTATGGAGATAAACAATAATAAACAACACTAAATGACAAATTAAATGAATAACTGTACAATAAGTAGCTAGAATTCTAATTCAAATAAAACAAGTTAAATGTCATTAAATTAAAGACAATATACTAAATATACCATGAGGTACGTCTAGCACAACTACCCGTACTTTATACGGTGGGAAACAAGAAGAAATAAATATAATTAAATACTACGTAATAAACTAACAAATAAACATGATAATATACGAGAAAGTTTACAATAATACAAAATATTGTCTGAGTATTGGGAGAATGAAGTAAATTTCAACGTTGTCTATGTAAGGCATGTAATAATAACCGAGAATTGGAAGAATCGTGTAACATTCAACGTTGTCTATATATACTATGTAATATTGTCTGAGTATTGGGAGAATGAAGTAAAATTCAACGTTGTCTATGTAAGGCATGTAATAATAACCGAGAATTGGAAGAATCGTGTAACATTCAACGTTGTCTGTATATACTATGTAATATTGTCTGAGTATTGAGAGACTGATGTAAAATTCAACCTTGCGTATGCATACAACAATATATATTATTTGACTACTACCTAATTATTTAACTAACTGAAGTTAGATATACATATG